TTTGGGGGGGGGGGGGGGGGGGTATTCGTAGTCGTGCATGCCGTAGTCGTTAGACCATTGTCCTGGCATCCCTACAAAGCCGGGACGGAGCACGCCGGGTTCTCACCGGACCAGGCTCTCACATCACCAAGCGCGAAGCGCCGTGAGGTATTCGGCGAGTGGCATGAAGGGTGAGCTGCATCCTGCTAAGGGTGTTCGGCATCTTGGGCTTACTTCCTTGGGTACGGATGACAGCTGCGTATGACTTAATTTATTTTCTGGTGCTTTCACTTCCAGAGACGGTTATAAGCACTGTGTAACTGCCTCGAGGATGCTTGACCATTTCAACACAACGTGGTGGGATCATTCCCCTTGCGGTGAGTTGGGAGGGGGGGGGGGTGTTTCTCTTGCAAGAGGAGGGGCCATACAAACACCGGTTCAGGGTAATTAAGTCAGCAAAGGTCCTAGAAACAACAAATGCACAACAGCAACAACGAGGACAAGGACAACAGTATATACAACAACGATGACATGTACCATACGATACCAACAACAACAGCAGTGACACAACGGCGATGACAAGAACAGTAAAATACAACGGCGATGATATAAACAATACCAACAACCCCCCCACCACGAACAACAAACAACGATCAACGAAAACGCGTGCCGCCCTTGGGCAGGGACCGACGAAGACCCAGCAGACCATCGTCCTCCCCAACCGACACCGAAGGCGATTTCAACGCGGACCGAGACCGCGACAGCAGCAGCAGGCGCGCTCCGGAGATGGTACCCGAGAGAGCCATGTCCGGGCCCGGCCGCTTGCTCTCGCCGACGCAAAGCGTCAACTACGGCGGTAGCACCGTCGGATTTGGCGGCGGCGGCGGTGGCAGGGCGGGGTCTTACGGCACGGGGGAGAACGGTGGCGGGAGCGGTGATGGTCTCGGGGGGGCGATTTCGGGCAAAATCAAGTGGTGGTTGGACCGCGGGGGCGGCAGCGGTGACGGAGAGAGCGCGCCCCTCCGCGGCGGTGGTGGGCGAGAGAGGGTGAGCGTAGTTGTTGTGTTGGCTCTGTGAGTGATGATGCATGTTGAGACCATTTTGGTGTGTTCGATTCCCCGAAGGAGGTGCTGTGATTTTTTGTGCCGTCTTGGTTCGGGGGTCTGGTGATGAGGTGGACAGGGGCAGTGGAGACGACGTTTGCATGTTTAGTGGAGGAGGTGGAACAGCAGCGCCTGGGTCAGAGACGGCGTTCATGGCATGTCCCATGGTTGCTGGTTGCGGTGCTCGTAGAAAGGAAAGATGCACTTTCCGCTTTCGAAGTTTCTTGTGTGCTATGCTGCTGCTGCTGCTGCTCATCGTTTTCGTTGCCCTCTTCGCACCCTGTTCCTCTCGCTTCATTTGCGAAACCACGCTTTCTGACTGCAGGCTTTCTTTCACAAACCTTGTCAGTTTTTCTCGTCGCTTGGTGTTCCTCCTCTGAGTCATTATCGCCGACGTCACCACAACGACTCTCTCGCCTCATTTTCATTGCTCGTGATGAAAATTGCGCCGGAAAGCAGCAGGGTGAGTTGGCGTCGTCGGTGGCCTCTCCCCCGGCGTCGGTGTCCACAGCGCGAAGCGGCCGCACGAACTGGTGGGAGGACAGGTGAACAAACGTTTTCTCCTTGTATTCCCCCCTCACTGCACTGCAAAGATTTGAACTCATGCCCTTCGACTGCTGGTTGTGGTGTTGTCTACGTAGAACGGGTAGTCTTTCTGCGATTGTATGGGCACTTTCGTTAGACCGTTTCTCCTAAATCCATTCATGACTTCGCGATGATAGATGGTGCGCTTGCCTTTTTTTGTTGTGTGTTGTTCAAGTTGGAGCATATCGCGGTTTGGTTTTTTATTGAAAGACTTCTGCCGGGTCTGTTGCGCGCCTCTCCGCCTTTGTGGGTGTTGTTTGGTGCTTGATTGTTGAGGGGTTCGAAATGAATCGTGCCGGCGCACCGGCGTGGTTCTTGTGTCATCGAGTGGGGAGGGGACGTGCTCCCTCTTGGCAAGGAGCGGTCATGACAACGAGCAACCGACATCCGCCTCCCACGATACTCCTTGTACTTTCTTTTTTGTGTATATCAAGGCGACGGCCACCTTGGTCGCCCACGTCCCGGCCAACATAGCCTGCCCTTGCTAAGGCTCCATGGTCGCTTTTTCGCCCCCCTCCCCCCCCCCCCTTTTTTTCGTTCGTCGTTTTCGCGCGCGTGCCCCCCCAACAGCGACGGCGACGACGATGGCTCGAGCTCCTTGGCCAGCTTCACCCAATCGGACGGCATGTCGGAAGTGGGTAGCAACGTGAGCGGGATGGGGGGGGGCGGCGGCGGCGGCTGGGCGGAAGGCGGTGGGAAGTACGGGAGCAACGGCAACACCCAGTACCCCCGGGGCAGGGGAACCGCTGCTGCCGTGCGGAAAACGCCCAGCGTGGCATCTTCTTCCAAAAACCGGGGGAAACGGGCTGAACGGAGGAGGGTCGGAGGGGGCTCCCTGAGGGGGGGGGCGGGAGAAAAAACCCCCCCCCTGAACAAGCAAGGCGGGAGGGGGGGGAAAAGGGCCGGGGGGAAAAGGGGGCCCCCAAGGGGAAAAAAAGGGGAAGCAACGGTTTTTCCCGATGAAGGAGGGGGGGGGGGGGGCACACCACCGGGCACCCCCGGCCCGGGGGGGGTCCCCCCCGGGGGGGGGGGAACAATTTTTTGGGGGTTTTTAAACCCAAAACCC